CCCTGAGTTAGAATAGCACCCCATTCCAAATGTCTCAGGGGGTGACTCTTACAAACACATGTGTTTGTCACACTTCTGGATCCTGGAAGTCTGAGCCAGGGGCTGGCTTGTGGCTCTCCTGTCAGTAGCCCTGAGTGCCTCTTGGTTTCTGGGCTTGTGGACGGTTTCACCTGACAGCGGTCTTCCTGGTGTGAAAGCCCCACCTGGGGACCTGCTGAATGCATGGATCTCATACTTCCCCCGACTGGTGCGGGGACCTTCTCACCCTTCTGTCCATAGGCTGTCCCCTTCACCTTCAGCTCTGTACTCAGCACCACCACCCCCGTGCCCACAACACACACGCCACGCCTCAGAGCAGGTGATGATGAGGTGTGTGGACTGAGGGCCTGTACTTGAGACAGCTGATGGAGACTTGGCGGTCTATATCTCTTCTTCCATACACAGAGGAGCATATGTGCAGACTGCTACCCAGGCATGGCCAAGGGGACCAGGCGCAGGTCCGCACTGCATAGATGCCATGTGGGATGGGCTCAGAGGCTGGCACCCCCTCTTGGCTGAGTCCTGGCATTCCCTCAGGAGTGGCAACCCCGAGCCCCACCTGCTCCTTAAGGTGACCTAAGAAGGGAAAGTCCGGATGACGCAGGACCTCGGTGTGAGCGCCACAAGCGTGGGCTTCGTGAAGGCAGAGGGCTCTGCACAGCCTCTCTCAGGAGGCCAGGTACTGTGGTAAGGAGCTGCAGGGACAGACGTCACCCCTTGTCCACAGGCCGAGCAGCCTCGAAGTCCCCAGGGGCGTGGTCCCCACTGCAGCTGCAGTTGTCATGGAACAGGCTGGGCTGACAGAACAGCCTGGAGTCCTGGGGACCGCCTGGATTTTTTATTCCCAGAGGAGGAGAAGGCTGGTGTGCCCATCCGCCCCAACAAGTAGAAGACAATGTGTGTAATTAGATGCCATCCCAGGATGCCTCTCTGCACACAGTGGGCATGTGGGCCATACCTGCACATGAACAGGAGCTGCAGGACTGGATGGGGCACTTGCTGGTGCAGGAGTGGCCAGAGGCCAGCGAGGATCCTGGATGAGGGTGCTGGCCCACAGGGAGCTAGAAAACCGCTGAGGCTGTGTCCCTGGACCCCAAGCGCCGACATCAGCAGTGTATCTGCTTTTGACTCAGCGATGCTGTGTAACAGGCAGCTGAGACCCGTCTGCCCCACCCCCCACCCCTGAGAGGGCTCACCTTCCAGCACCAGATTGGCCAGCGTTCGATTATAATCCTTGGGATTCCATCGTCTGGTGGTCAGAACTTTCTTCCCAGCCTGTCCGAGTCTGGAAGCTCTGCTGAAGCCAGCCATGGCGGGTGACCCCGCTGGTACCTGAAACATGGCGGTCTGGCTTCCAGCATCAGTCTGATGCGTGGCCGGTTCTGTGGGGGTGTGGAGATGATACCTTTGTCGGTGTGGAGAGGACGAAAAGCAGGAACTGTGGGCTGGGTGAGGTCTGAGTGGGCGACGTCGTGCAGTGACAGAAGCGTCAGCACCAGGGGCAGCAAAGTTCTCCGCCCTGAGCAACCGGCACCGCGCACAGTCCCCAGTGAAGGGCGCAAGCCGTGGGGCTTCAGCACCGCTGACAGCGGCCCAGCTCTCGGGAAACGTCCGGCGCCTGGTCTTTTCAGAACTGAGGACAGCTCCCGGAAGGAAGCGGGCGTGCTTGGCCGGCTCAGAACCGCGGACAGCGCACGGCGCCGTGCAGAGGCGCCCTTCCCTGCTATTCAGCACCGCAGACAGCGGCCACGAGGCAGCCGGAGCCTCCTGGACCGGTCCTTTGGGTTCACAGTAAGGCTCTCACTGAAGGCGCTCCTTCTCCACTGCTTCTGCGTGCTTAAGTTCCTTCTTCTAACCCAGCTCGGATGTCCCCCGCTGTCCCCCAGCTCTCTGCTGCTCAGCTGTTTGGGGTGAGAACGGGGTCCCTCTTTCTCCTGAGATCCCCAGCCCCCTGTGGACCCCTGCAGCTCTGGCCACATCTTCGCGGCAGAGAAGAAAGACTTCTGCCCACCGCACAGTGGAAAAGCAGACCCGCAGGAATGCCCAGTGCTTTGCTCTGACAGACACCAGTGCAGAAGACCTGGGCCCAGAACCCCTGTGCCACAGAGGCTGACTCTGTCATAGGGTGAGAATCCGTGTCTCAGGGCTTGGTTTGTCAGCAGAGCTCAATTTCCTCCTTGAAGTTTGCCAGGAGAACAAAGGGGTCCCTGCCAGCACCCGCCTTCCCCTCAGAGTAGGGTGGTGGGGATAATAGTGGGTTTGGGGAGAAACTCCTTCCCTGGCTGACCTGTGACTTTGGAGCAGAGGCACAGTGACAGGCCAGCGCCAGGACAAGCCCAGTGCCAGGAGGGAGGCCACATCACCTGCCTCACACCCTGCTCTCCGCAGCAGCCAGGGAGGGTCTCAGAATGTTAAGAACAGGAGAGAGGGTTATCTGTCCCCTCCTTCTGCCTCCTCCCTCTACCCTCTTCCCAATCCATCATTCTGTCCCTAGTTTCACTCCCCTCACCCCCACCCCGCCCTGCCCTGCGTCCTGCCAACCCCACCACTTCTCCCTCTCAGCAGGCATTTGCTGCACAGCCTTGGCTGGTCCTGGGAGATAGAGATGCACCTGGCAGGTGGGACTCTCCTGGCCTGGAAGGGCACTTGAGGTGGGCGTTATGGCAGCAGGGACTGGACGCCCCCAGTCTTTCCCTGGAGAGCGAGTTACCAGGGAAGGACTCCCTGCTGGTAGCCCTGATGACCTGCTTTTTCACTTTATCTCTTGTCATTGAGGTTTCCTGTGGCGCGTCTAGGTGGCTGACTGGCAGCCTCTGTATCCTGCTCTGGCAACCAGTCTGCTCTGAGGACCGAGTCCCGCAGGAGGCGGCTGGCCCCAAGGGTGTGGGCTATATTAAGGTCCTTGGTACACATTGCAAACTCGTGAGCATTTGTCTATGCTGAGAAGCCTATGGTGGCAGGAAGGGAGAGTGGGGTGTCCCCACAGAGGGGCACGCAGAGCTTGGTGACATCTTTGTTGAGATGCTACAATCCTTCCTGAGTGACCCCCCGCCCCCAACATGTTGACCATTTGGGTTCACCTGCACTTAGAAAGAAAGGCCTGGTGGTCCACGTCTGGAAAACCAGCCAGAGTGCAGTCCCTCTGATACAGTGGGGTCCTGGGGGCAGGGATTCACTGGTGACAACTGTTCACCATCATTGTGGAGCCCACATGCCACTGGGGTCCCCTGACCTGCACCTGTGGCCCCTCCAGACCCCTGTCATCCATGGGGACCCCAGTGTGTGAGGCCCCTCCCATCCTTGTGTCCCAACACACACCCTGTGCTGGCAGCTGGTTCTACCTGCCTCTTCATCTCAGAGAGCCAGCTCCCTGGTGACTGGGGTGGAGCCTCCTCACAGCCCCCCACCCTACTTACTGGGAGCCAGCACCCCCCCTCCACCAACTGAGCATCCTGGAGGGGAGCTTTTTCTTCTCCCTAAAGACACCCCCCCACTTGCTGGGACACCCCCCACCCCCATCTGGAGGCTGGGCATCCTGGCAGGGAGAGCAGTTTCTCCCCATGGCATCTGCCCTCCCATAAAGTTCTCCTCATGTGCACAGAGCCGGTCCTTGTGGGGCATTGCTGAGGGCCAGGCTGTGAGCACCTGCATCTCATGGGCATGGAGGGACCCTAGTCTGTGTGGCTCCACAGGTGTCACCTCCGCACATCATGGCTCAAGGACACAGCCGAGTGGGCAGGACAGATGCCCCCGAGAGTCAGGTGTTTGGTGTTCATGGGATTTGTAATGAGATGTGTTCTTCAATGTCTATACATAGTCATTCTACTCAGAGCTTGCCATGGGTCACACACACCATCTGCCCTCAGAGCCATGGGCAGGGAGGGCACTACCACGTCCCTCTGAAACGGGTGGTATTTGTCTTCACTGTTGAGAATGTGATCACCCCACCCACCAGGGACCAAAGCACTGCCCAGTCCGTCCCTCTCCACCTGCCTGCTCAGCGTGGGCTGGACATCAGGTCCCTAGGCTTTCACAGCCAGGCCTTTCTCCCTCATCTGTCGTGGTCTGGGGCTTTGTTGAAATGTATCTACTGTGGGTGACCCTGCTGGTGATGGACATGCAGGTGGCCTGGCTCCCGGCCTAACAGTGTCATGCAGCCACCACGCTCGGCACACGGGCAGGTGGGGAGTGGTCTAGGTGCCCCCTGTCTCTCTGCCCTTGCTTGGGCCCTTCCCCGGGGACACCCACCCTGCCCTGCCTGCTGCAGAAAGAAGTGTTGGTTCTCACTGCCGTTGTCCTTCCGTGTGCCCAAGGGGCAGGACGTAGGGCCGGTGGGGTTTGTCAGTCACCAAGGTCTCTGAGTCACTCAAGCGCACAGGGGCTGTTAGTGGACAGGTCACTCACTGCCCAGCTGCCGCTGTTGCTCTTGCATGGCAGTGGGGCCAGGGCTCGTGGAAAGTGTGTGGTCTGTGGATATGATGGAGAAAAGCCCTGGGAGCTACGGGGATGGCCTTCCTCCTCCTCTCCTCCTCCTCCTCGGCCATCTCTGTGTGGAGCAGGGCCTTCAGAGAGCCCTGGTCTGCACACGGCCAGCCTCGCCAGTAAGGAGGGGCCTGCAGAGAACAGTGAACCCGAGGGCAGGGGCACGCCGTGAGACCTGGCACAGACAGACTTCCTGGCACAGGCCTTGCTTGAGACCATCCAAAGGGCACTCGGCAGCGAGTGGTCAGCTGGCCTGAGGCTCAGTGTGGCTGCAGAAGGGGGAGGTGGCTTGTGACTGTCTCCGTGGAAGTCCTGACAGTCAGAGGAAGTATTGCAGAGCCAGGCTGATGGGTGTTCGAGGCTGGGTCCTGGTACTCAGCTCAAACAAGGGAGTCAGGGCGGGGTGCAGATGCCTCACAATGAGGGGTAGGAAGGACCCCTGCCAGGCCCCTGCAACTAACGCTCTCCTCCATTTCCAGAGCGACCAGCTGCTCATCAAGGGAGGCCGCATCATCAATGACGACCAGTCCTTCTACGCAGACATGCACCTGGAGGGCGGGATCATCAAGTGGGTCACCGTGGCAGTGTCCAAGGGTAGCGGCTCTTGGCGGGGTGGGGGGGGGGGGGGGGGGGGGGGTGGGGAGCAACTCCCAGGGGGACGGTGTTTGGGGCAGTAGTTTGCATGGGGGTGTCTCCCAGGGGGGCAGGTCGGGCTGGGCTGTCAGGGGCCCCCACCAGGAGACAAGGGACTGGGGGAGCTGGTGCCCACGGGCTTCTGCTCCCTGTCTGGTGGCCCGTCCAGCCAGTGGGGGTGGCCTGTCTGTGTGAGCAGCAGCCCCGTCTGGTCCCTGCAGCGCAACTGCTCAGCCAGCAGCTGCTGGGGGAAGGCTGGAGGTGGCCCACCTGTCTTCCTGGAGAGACAGGTGGGCCTCGGAAACCCTATGGGGCAGTTCTGCTCTGTCCTGTCTCCAACCCATGGGGTCACTCTGAGCTGATAGGAGTGTTGGGTAGATGTGGCCACGGCCACTCGATAAGGGTCAGAGTGAACTGTGCCCCCCTTCTCCTCCCTGCTCCCTCCCTCCCCCCACAGCATTTCCTGGCTGGTGTTCGCAGGCAGATCACCAGGGCTTTCTTCTGGGGCGCCTGTGGGTGACCTCAACCTCCACTCTTTGGACTGGCAGCCAAGCACGTGACCTGGCACAGCTCTGGCCTCTACCTGCCCAGGACTGACAGACGGGGGTCGGGGGACGGACACTTGGGTTCCACTCAAAACTTTGGCAGGACTGGGATTCCTGCTGTTTCCCTGAGGTGGTCTGTGAGACCCCCGGCCCCTGAGTTGTCAGCTGGTGGGGGACATGTGCTCCCCATCTCTGCTGTTGGTTCGGAGGGTGGAGCAAAGGGTCTAAGTGGGCAGGGGCAGGCAGGAGGCCTCTGCTCACAGGACTGGACAGTAAGGCCTCCAGTGAGGGTATCTTCCCACTTCAGTGGACACAGGCCTCTCTGAACCCAGTGCAGGGCTCCCCTCTGCCCCCTGCCCTTGCCCCACCACATTCAGCAAGCTGCTCCTACACCATAGCCCTTGCCCCCACCCTGCAGGTCCCCAACTTGGGACACCCTCTCATCACCACCCCTGCCCTCCTGATGTCAGCTTACACCCGACTCGCTCTTCAAGGAGCCCCTGCCTGTGGGAGGTCCGCCTCTCCTGCCCCCCAATCTTACACCATGGGAGGCCCACCCATCATACCTCTTTTCCCCCCAGACCATGAGAGGCCACCCTCATGTCCCCAATCCCCAGTTTTGTGGGGTTCAGCCCTGTGTCCCCCAACCATGTGCTACTACCTGTCAGCACCAGCATGGGAGCTCCAGTGTCCCCAACAAGCCATCCTCCTTGCCCCCCCCCCCCCCCCCCCCCCCCCCCCCCCCCCCCCCCCCCCCCCCCCGCCTGCCATCCCCCACTGGGTCCCAGCAGGGCCTGGTGTAAGATGAGACCAGAGTCGCCAGCATTGGGCAGTTGAGGCCATGAGCCCGGCTCCTACCAGAGACTCTGGTCTTAACCAAGCCAGGCAGGGATGGAGGCAGAGCAGGGCATGGGGGTAAGGGGGTGAGGGAGGTGTCCCCCAAAGGCACCTTCTAACTCAACTCTTGCTGGGACTTTGAGTAAACAACTCGCACCCCATCTACTAGGTGACTCATGGCCATCTCTCTGTTTGATTCCAGACAAATCGGGGAGAATTTGGTTGTTCCTGGTGGCGTGAAGGTCATCGAGGCCAACGGACGGATGGTCATCCCTGGAGGCATTGACGTCAACACCTACCTGCAGAAGCCCTCGCAGGGCATGACTGCTGCCGACGACTTCTTCCAGGGCACCCGGGCAGCCCTGGCGGGCGGGACCACCATGATCAGTGAGTCACTTGCCCTCCCCCCTGCCCTAGGGCTCGGGCACCAGTGTCCTCACTGCCGCCAGCACCACATTCCGCACACAGGACACTTTCCCAGGTCGCGGTCAGTGAAGTTCCAACTGCGAGCATGCACGTATGGTGCGCGAGGAGGCGCCGTCGGCAGTGTGGACATTTGGCGTCTAGCATACTTTGGTGCGTGCTGAAATTAAGTAATGGCCGTGTCCTGGACATGATTGCTAGGGTACATTGGAAGCCAGCATCTGGGCTTTCCAAGGCTGTTGGACGCCCCAAAGAAAAGGGTAGAGATGAGTTGGTACATGTGAACTAGGGGTCGATGGAGAATCTTGGAAGTGCCGTGGGCTGGCAGAAGAAGGACGGTCAGTGCTTCTGAGAAGCATGCAGGCGGGTGGGGCTGCATCTCACGCACTTTAGATATGCTGTCAGGAGAGACCAGTCCGTGGAAGAGGTCATCGCGCTCAGTAAAGTGGAAAGTCAGCCCCAAAGATGAAGACCGTCAAGGCGATGGATTGACCCATGGCGGCAACATCAGGCTCACAGAACAAAGTTTGTGACGATGGTACAGGACAGGGTGGTGTTTCCTTCCGTTGTGCACAGGGTTGCTGTGAGCAGAACCTTGGGTGGGGCTGCATAGCTGTATGTGTGGCAGAACAAACCTTGCCCGGTCACCATGGGCAGGACCGCGTCCATTGGGGAAGCCAGTCCACCTCACCAAGCCCTCCTCGCTCCATGTCTCTGTGTCACGAGGCTCGCGTCCTTCTCTAGAGGGAGCGTCTGGTTGTATTTCTTCTAAGAAGCTTCTACGGAGCATTCTGGCTCTGGTTCCTCCCGGACGGATCTGATGCCCTCAGGGGTGACCAGCAGCTGTAGTTTTTGACCTTCATCAGTAAGTGCTCCCTCTGGGGCGAGCAAGGGGTGTCTCATCTGCATATCAGAAGATGGTCAGGAGACGCCGCCACCCCAATCAGTCCGGAGCCTGAGTTCTTCTTGAGCTCCTTCCAGGACATACAGCTTGAACAAGTGAGGTGAAAGGTTACAGTTCTGGGTCAGGCCGTGCCATGCCCCCTTACTCTGTCCGGACGACTGCCTCACGGTCTATGTACAGGTTCTGATGAGCACGATTAAGGGTTCTGGATTCCCATTCTGTGCAATGGTTTCCATAATTTGTGATTATCACATGTTCAGCTACCTTTGCCAAGTCCGTACAACACAGCTAAGCACCTTCTGCTGATCTCTGTTTCGGTCAAGATACATTTGACATCAGCCATGATAGTCCTTGTTCAGTATCTTCTGAATTGGACTTGAACTTCTCGAAGGTTCTCATTGATATAAAACTGCAGTCCTCTTGGGATGATTTTCAGCAGAATGTTCCCAGCGTGAGATAGCGGTCAGCACTTTCAACAGTCCGTCTGACACCTTCGTTTGGACTGGATCTGAGTAAGAACCCCTCCCGGTCCATCGGCCAGGCCTCCGACTTCCCTCGTCGCAGCACAGGCCGGTGTGCACCTGTGGGGGGCCTCGTTCGCTGGAACATCGCCACGGGGAGTCATCAGGTGATGGCTTGACTTTTCACCAAAGTGTCCGCAGCCGGACCTTCCTCTGCCAGGGCCAGCGGCTCTTGATCACGTGCTGTCTCCGCACGTTGAACACTGGCTGTGTATTCCTGTCATCTTCCCGAAGTGCCTGCTGCCACGGCCCCTTACTTATTTATCGCCCGTCGAGTCCTCTGGCGTCCTGAATTCACCTTAGCTCCTTCTCTGGTTCTGGGACTGTGACAAGTGACAACTGCCTCCTGCTTTGTTTTCTTCTCTAATTCAAGGTCTTCGCACATTCCATTATAATACAAGAAAATCCAAAAGGTTATAGAAAAAATAGAATTCATGGAATCTTTCCACTCTTTTTGAAGCTTTTGGAAAAAAACTTCCAAGCTTTTAGAAGCCCGCTCCCTTCATTAACTCGGGCCCTCTTGGTTCCCCGAGAACCGTCTGCTCCGGGCTTTGCTTGTCAGTTGTCTGCCTGCTCTAGACCAGTGGTTCTCGCCCTTCCTCAGGCCTTCTAATACAGTTCCATAGATTAAGAGCCACTGCTTAATGGTCTGCATGTAAGAGCAGGCTTCAGAGTTTTCGCACCTTCCATTCTGGTGATTTCTTTACTCCTGGCTTTTTAGTGACCTCTTGCTCTCTTCGTGTATAATGTCTTTGTAGTAGCCCCTTCCCACCTGACCAGTGCTGGTCTTTGTCCATTACTGCCTGGCCTACTGTGAGCACAGACACTAAATCCCAGTGGATGGACTCGGGGCTGTGCATTGACTCTCGAAGGTTTGCTTTGATTGACGTTGCTTCAGCTCCAGCTTCCAAATGAGCCCTGACCCTCAGGTGGCAGAGACGACCCCTTCCCCAGTGCACCGAGAAACAGGGCGGTGCTGAGAGAGGCTTGTGAAGCCAAATGAAGTTTAAGATAGGTGGCTCCCTCTCGGATACGCTTTATATGTGTGATTTTAATTTCAAAATGGAGGGTGAAGGAAACACTTGGGGCGGCATGGGGTGGCAGTGACAATCCATCAGGAATCCCCTCCCGCCCCTGACTAGTGGTGCGGCCTTGGGCAGTCCCTCCGTGCCTGGGCCTCAGCGTTTCCTGTGCAAGCAGAGGGTTGGATGCGCACCTCCTGGGTGGCTGTGAGGATTGAAGGAGGCGGTTACGTGGGCCCTTTCTGTGCATATTTGGCCGACAGTAGCATTCCCTGGCAGCAATGGCGACGGTGCTATTGTGACGACAGTCGTGATGTCATTGCTGGTGGCAGTGGTCCTGTGGCAGCGATGGCGGTGGTCTTGGCAGTGGTGGCATAAGTCCTGGTGAGGACGATGGCGATGATGTCACCGGTGGTGGTATAGAGACCACACTTTGTGAGCCCAGAAGACCACTCAACGTGTGTTGGATCCCAGCAGCTTGGGGCATAACACGTATTTCTCTGCCTCAGTTGACCATGTCGTCCCTGAGCCTGGGTCCAGCCTGCTGGCCTCCTTTGAGAAGTGGCATGAGGCAGCAGACACCAAGTCCTGCTGCGACTACTCACTGCATGTGGACATTACCAGCTGGCACGATGGCATTCGGGAGGAGCTGGAAGTGCTGGTGCAGGACAAAGGTCAGTGAAAGGGCACGGGGGATGGAGGGCCGGTGTCTGCAACCCCTGTCGTAGGGGGCCCTGGTGGGAGGGCTTACACAATCCCTTAGGCTTGCCTGTTTTCAGACGACGTGAATACGCCCCACCCTATGTGGGGGGTCTACCCACATCTGCCTCAGCCCTTCACAGATACCCTAACTGTAACCATACTACAGCCCTCGTCTGCCTCTGCCCTTCAGAGGTTGCCCTCCTCGTAACCCTAACCTGAACCCTAACTCTAACTTGGACCCTAACCCTCGTCCTGTGGAGGGAGCCTACCCTCACCTGCCATCAGCCATTTCTTCAGAGGCCGCCCTAACTGTAACGCTAACCGACAGGAGGGGGCCTGGCCCCCCTAGCCGGGCACTGCAGGCCCTACTCGGCCTATGCTCACGTCTTCCTGTGACTCACTGTCACTCCTAACAGAAACTCACCCTGGGCGCCTGTCACCCTGGGCACCACCCCCTCTGGCCTGCTCCCTCGGAGCCTTTGCGCATGCTGTCTTCTCCCCAGGACATGCCTTTCCCCTTCCCACCTGTCCAATGACTACATCTGTCAGTGGTTCTTGGATTCGGGGCCTGCCCGTCTGCCTGGCTCTGCCACTGAGCTCAACCAGGGAAGGAGTATGTCAGAATTCAAGGTGCCTGCTTTGGGGGAGGGGCCTCTATCTCTTCCTGGTCCTGGAGAAGAGCCTCATCCCTTTCAGCCTCTCTTCCTGGGGTCCTGGTATCAGGACTCCGATCTTCCCCCTCTCTGCTGGTGCTTGTATGTCTGCTCTTTTACATCTCAAAAGAGATTGACTTAGAATCCACCCCACCCTGCCCTGCCTCCTTAGCACTCAGGGGAAGCCCGGTCCTAGTGGCCTTCCCGCACACAGGTGAGCAAGGGTCCGAGCACGAGCCCCAGGAGGACAATTGTGGGGACGGCGCAGGACCGGGCAGGGTGTCCTTGCTCGTGCACAGAGTCCCTAAGGCTCAGCACTGACTCGATGGTGCCCACAGCGACAATGAGCCACGGGTGTCCCTGTGTCTGCAAAGGCTTGCTAGGCGCACACACAGCACCGGCAGAGGGGCTGTGCAGGGCACAGAGCCTAAAGCGCTCCCTCTCTGCCGGCCTGCTCTGCATAAGCACACACACACACACACACACACACACACACACCTGCCGGGCCACCCCCGTCTTCCCTGCGCAGAAGCGGTGGCCCCACAGCGAGTGTCCTTCTCGCTTCATCTCCTGCCCAGGTGGCAACCCGGGTCTCTTCGTTTCGAAGCGTGTCCATCATTCTAAACCAAGGTGGGACGACTCCCCCCGGACTTCTGTGGGTCTCTGGAGTCCTCGCTGAAAACTAAGTGCTTGAAGAACAGGAGTCTTCCCGCTTCGGGCGGCCGTTGGTGTGCTGTGGGACAATGCTTTCAGCCCTGTGGTGGGAGGCGGGGGACTAGCAGGAGTCCCTTGTCCACCCTACAGACACGCCCCTTAGGACCCTGTACCCTGAGGACCTTTGAGGACAGAGAGAGAAGGAAACTGCTTCACCTTCTGTCCTGTGGGCCGACATCACCATCGCTGTAGGGGCCACCCCATTTGTTCCGACTCACAGCCCCCGGGAAGAACAGGATCAAACAGTCCCAGGTCCTGCGCCCGCCTCTCCACTGTTCTTACGTCTGAGCCCACGGTGCAGCCACTGTGCCCGCCCCGCGTGCCCACTAACGCTGCCTGCAGAGAGAACCCCTCTCCCTCTCTCTCATACACCTCGTGTCTCTGATCCTGTGTGGTGACCACGTGGTCCCATCCACGTCCTCTGGGGTGGCTGTGTTCTGATTGGTTTGCTACATGGGGATCACCCCTCTCCAGGCCTCCATGATATTGCTGGGGACAGCTCCCGGCTTCCTTTCCTCGCTGTCCACATCCATGCCCCTCCACGGCCCCTCCTTGCCTGGACCATCCCCCTTTTTCTCTCCATACCCCCGCCCCATCTTTGGCTCCTCCTCTTCTTGTTTCAGCTGCACTGTGACCTTCCTCTGACCAGGTCACCTGCAGGTGGACCTGGGGCCTCCACCATGAGCTCAGGGGGTTACTGGCTTCTCCAGGCTGTGGTCATTGTTTTACTGGAAATACATCTTTCTATTCTCTTTTCATTTTGAAACAGGCATCAATTCCTTCCAAGTCTACATGGCCTACAAGGACCTCTACCAAATGTCTGATAGCCAGGTACGGCCAACACCTCTCTCACCACTGGGCAGGTGGGCCAGGGAGGGCTCTGGGCTCCAGCCTGGCTGGACACTCAATAGCTGAATGGCTTGAGTGGCCATCCCCCTCCCTGCGGCTGCACTTCTGACACTAGAATGGTAGAGAGAAGGCCCTTCACACAGCAGAGCCCCAAACTGGCTTGCCCATAGCCACTGGACACGGCCACTCTTCCTCAGTCTTCCTACACACAAACGTGCGATCATGTCAGTTCCTATGTGCCCCATCCTCTCCAACCATAGATGTGTGATAACGGCATCCACACCTGCATGCACATGTGTGACAGTCCATCCACACCTACACATGCATGTGTGACAGTCCATCCACACCTACACGGACACATGTGACAGTCCAGCCACACCTACACGGACACCTGTGACAGTCCATCCGCACCTACACATACACCTGTGACAGTCCATTCACACCTACACGTCAGTCCATCCACACCTACACATACATCTGTGATAGTCCATCCGCACCTACAC